TGGTATTTTTATTTAAACATAACATGCTAGTCATAATATTTATTATCTGTATTACTGTAGTGCCTCACAGCCTTAATCGTACACATCTGTGTTAGGTGTTGTATAGACACATAATAAAAAGACAGTCCCTACCCCAAATTTACAGTGAAAGTGTAAGGCAGGGGTCAGCAACCTTTCCGAAGTGGCGTGCCAAGATTGAACCCTCCTGCCCTGGGCTGTGCCACTCTCCCAGGAGGAGGGGAGAGGCTCTCTCCATCACATACCCCATGGGCCATCTAGGTCAATGCAAACCTTCTGTGGACTACCAGTTGGTAATGGAAACTCACTGTTAATTACATAATTATGCCTCAGCCATTTTGCTAGTGCTGCAACTGGGGAGAATGGTTTAATTTAAATTATTAAACAGATGAAGCGTTTTAACTCTCATGTTAGTTTATAAAACTTCATTTTAAATAAAGTAAAATATTATGTCCAACACAAAAGGTTTCAATGTTTTCTTTATTTATGGCAGGGGTGGGGAACCTTTTTTGAGTCGGGGGTCACTGACCCATAGAAAATTCAGTTGTGAACCACACAAGTGAGAAGCTAAAAAACTCCTCCAAAATCCTCACTGATGTGTCCCCCAACTGAGATACCTCACGCCTCTGGCACTCCAGCCCCCATGAGGTGAGGGGAAACAACAGGAAGGACTGAGGTTCAGGGCTTCCCATAGGCCAGATTTACTTTTCTGGGGTTTCAGACTGGTCTAAGGCAAAAGACCCTAAATGGATACAAACAGGTGGAAAGTACGACAGGAAGTGGTCTCTAACCACTGTTAAGTTTTTTGTAGGCATCATGGAAAAAGGAGTTTTAAGAAGCATAATTAAGTCATTTTTCTGAATGTCTAAGGTGAGCGTCTCCCCAGACTGAGAGACAGTGTGAGAGAAATACAGAAGTGATTTTTTCACAATGTCACCAGTGCAAGATGGAGGCTGGCACAGAGGCTGACTGGAGGTGGGCAGTGGCATCTCAAGAGTCAATGGTAGATGACAACTAGGATGGAGGTAAATTGTGAAGGGCCTTGAGGGTGAAGACAAGTAGCTTTTGTATGATGTGACTGAGAAGGCGGAGTCAGCAAAGGGGTGCAAAGAGAGGCATGACATGGTCAAAGTAGCAGACTAGGGAAATTATCTTGGCTTAAAACAAGCTATTGAAATGAGGGAGTTGCAAGGAAATGTTGCTCTGCAATTTGCTGGGATGATGGTTACCCCAAAAAGAAAAAGGGCAGCACATAAGGCTTTGAGGCTGCTGCAAGCTAAGAAGAGGGACAGGGATGGAAGGGTCTGAATGGGAGTTCACTGCAGCCTATACTGCTATAGCACTCAGTCTTGCTCCCAACAGAGAGAGGAGTCAGCTTATAGGGAAAGCCCTGAAAATCCTAGCCAAGTGAGGGGGTGGAGAGAACATGTGAAAATGCTTAGTGTATGGCCATTCAGAAAAGACAGTCAGGGTATGTCTACACTAGCCCCCTAGTTTGAACTAGGGAGGCTAATGTAGGCATTCGAGGAGTAACGGTAGTTCGAATTAGAGATCCTAATTCGAACTACCTACTCCGTGTTGCGTGTAGCCGCGGGCACGGAGTTCGGACTAAGGGATATTTAAAAATGGTGGTGTCCGGGAAGATGAAAATGAAGCCCGGGATATTTAAATCCTGGGCTTTATTTGCAACTTTGAATGCCTACATTAGCTTTCCTAGTTCGAATTAGGGGGCTAGTGTAGACATACCCTCAGAGAGGTGGGCTACAAGCAAGATGCTTACAATGAAATGTATTGAACAAACTGCAGGATGGAGACTTACCAGCAGCTGGGGGTACATTCAGTGTGAGACTGTAGTTACTAGCAAGTGGAGCAGCTGTTTGACCCCAGATAGGTCACAAATGTCTCCCTGAGCCATGCCATCCTCAACCATGTTGAATTATGTTCAAATATTTTTGTGAATGGGGCCAAACATATTTAAAACCCTCAGCAGAAAGCATGCTGAGCCCTGCAAACCAGCAGAACTTCATTTATTTCAACAACAGAACTAACAAAGGAAGCTTCTCTACCAAGAATGAGTACTAAGAACAAAGTCATATTACTGCAGTATAGGAATGGTACATTCAGTTTATAGAAAAGAAATATTTTCCACTACCAGTTCAAGCTGTAGTTGTGCAACAAGGGGATCAATAGTGCTCTAGTACTTATAATCATTTCTCTCTTCGAGTGCTAATCATATCCGCTTACAGGTACCCAAGTTAATATAAACCAAGCTCCATTTATCTACTAATATGATTTATCTATGATTCTTTACTTGGAAAAATAATCTGAGCGAGCTGTCTTTTAATATATTAGGGTAAAAATTTAAAATCACGCCAAATTCAGGAAACTGAAACTATGGATCTCACACAAAATAACACCACATTGGCCATTAAAACCATTAAATACTATCTTAGTGTAGTCCCCTTACTAAAGGTGCCTCTGCTTATTCTCTGGGAAGAGCCTGTGTGCTGCAGTCTAGCCCCGAGACTACAATTCCCATGAGCTCTGGAGGAAACCAAGAAGGAAGTGACTTTTGTTTTGGGAGATCTGAGTCTCTCCACATGTGTGGAGGAAGACTCAGCAGCCTATGGACTCTTTCCTTTGTTTTTTGGAACAAAAGGGAGCCAGGCTGCTGTGGAGTTTTTATCCAGTTCAGTAGCTGTTATGTTGCAGTTACAGACTGGGACAGAGAGCCTTTGGAACTGGGATCTGGAAGGCTGCTTTTGATTGCCCTAGACGGGAGGCCCTTTGGCTGTACTTGTGGCTAGAAGCTACTTTGCATCCAGCACACAGAAGGAGACTGAGAGTAACTGGGCATCTTTGGGAAAATGCTGCCTGGGACAGACCTCAGAGATTCAGACTAATTCTAGGTTCAAAGAGAGGCGAACCAGAGCTGCTGCATAGCTTGGACCCACCTACACACTACCTACAGAGAATCTCCATTACAGCTGCAGTTCTTCAAGTGTGCCCACGCAAGCAAGAATCTGGGACTCTGAGTCCAGGGGTGTGCACACTCTGGGGTGGGATAAATATTGGCAGTGCAAGTGGCAGCTAGATACGTTCTTTTTACTTTTGTTTACTTTGTTAATTGATGTTATTCACTGTTAATTTGTTAATTCCTGTTTCTTTACGTTAAGTAAAGGTTGTTCATTCTAATGCAATCTATTAGATGTATATTGTTTATGATTTGTAATTGTTGTTCTTGAGTTAGAGCCAGTTTATTGCTGAAATAAGTTTATTCCTGGAGGTTCCCAAGGCACACCAGTAAGTGTGTACAGGGCCAGCCAGGTGGAGGCACCGCCATTGTACATTGTTGTAGCCAGACAGACACCCCCTTCCCCCCCATCACATCCATCTTATTTGCCTCTCTGAGGTTCCTGAAGCATTCAGGACAGAGAAGGAGCAACAAAATCAGCATAGTCTATGCTGGCTCATCTGATCCTGAGAAGCTGAAAAAAACAGATATGTGGAGAGAGAGCGATTAAGTCAATAAGCTGGCCTCGAGGCTGCAAGAAGTGGCCGGCTGGCACCTATGTTGATTCGAACACACACAGTCCCTGGGAGAGGAATTTCCCACTGAGAAAAGAATCCCCA